AGGGGTGCGCTTTCACTGGGGGCCGGAAGAGGAGGCCGCGTTCTGCTCCCTTCGTGACGCCTTGGTGCAGGCTCCCCCCTTGTGTTACCCCGATTTCACGCAACCGTTTGTGCTCGACACGGATGCCAGTAACACGGGTATCGGGGGAGTGCTCTCACAGGTGGTCGGGGGGGTCGAACGGGTGGTCGCCTACGGTAGCAGGGTTCTGTCTCCCGCGGAACAACGCTACTGTGTGACACGTCGTGAATTGCTGGCGATTGTGTTTTTTATACAGCAATTCAGGCCGTATCTTTACGGCCGTCATTTTACGGTTCGCACGGACCATGCGGCTCTCCAATACGCTATGCGGGTGGCGCAGCCATCCGGCCAATTGTCCCGATGGTTGGAGGTCCTTCAGGACTACCAATTCACGACGATTTACCGCAAGGGATTGCGCCACTCGAATGCGGATGCATTGTCGCGGTTGCCGCCGCGTACGGAATGCGCATGTCTGTTAGGATCGGCGCGGTGTAAACCCTCTGTCGCTGTCCCCGCGGAAGTTGTGCTCACCGCCACGGATACTACGGGGGTCGACGCTCCCACGGGGAGGGACTCGCTGTTAGCGTTGCCTGGGTGGGGCCGTCTGCAAATGGCCGACAGCTCCCTACTCACGCTACGTCGGAAGGTTGACGATCCCGAGGGAGGGGAAACGCGGGTCGGTTCCTGGGTGCGCAGACAGGGCCTCTTGATGAAGTGGGACAACATGTCCCGGCGTCACGCGCTCGTGGTGCCGTTTGCTATGTGGGGTAGGGTCGTCCTGGCTGCTCATGAACGACTCATGCATCTGGGGTTTCACAAAACGCTCGCCCTCATTCAGCGAGACTACTATTGGCCGGGGATGGGCAACGACGTGGCGAACATTCTTAAGGGATGTGTAGGGTGCGCCCAAAGAAAACCGCCACCAATAGCGGCTAATCCACCGCTGCAATCCATTCAGGTTTCGCGCACAAACGAATTGGTCGCGTTAGACATCTTGGGGCCCTTTCCCGCTACACCTCGGGGAAATAAGTTCCTGCTGGTTGGCGTAGAGTACTTCACCCGCTGGCCCATGGCATGGCCACTCGCCAACCAGTCGGCTGCGGCAGTGGCGGACGCCTTTGTCCAAGGTTATGTTTTGGACAAAGGCGCCCCCGAACGCTTGCTGACGGATCAAGGGAAAATTTTTGAGCGTTTTGTTGCGCGAGGTGTGCGACCTGTTGGGTACAAAGAAAGTACGTACCTCCCCGTACCACCCGCAGACTGACGGTATGGTTGAACATCTGAACAGGACGATTACGTCTATGCTGTGCCAACAGGTCTGCGACGACCAGGTGGATTGGGATTTACAGGTACCGGGGGTACTAGCGGCCTATCGAATGGCCCCTCATGCGGCGACGGGGTTTTCTCCATTTTTCCTTATGTATGGGCGGGAGGCCGATCCGGCCATGGACGTCCAACTGGGGATTTCCCAGCCGCGTGCAAAATCTAAATTGGCAGACCATATCAAGTTTAATATCGCCAAATTGGCTGAAGCGCGAGAGGCTGCGAGATTGAATTCGCGGTCTCGGCAGATCGCGAACGAGCGATTGCATGGACGGAGGGTGCATACGCACGATTGGGAACCAGGCGATAAGGCCTGGCTGCATTGTCCACATGCACCATTGGCTACGTCCCCCAAATTGTTGAGACCATGGAGGGGACCGGTGGAAATTGTGCGGGTTGCACGACCCCAGAGTATACAGATCAAATGGGGAAAACGCTGTTGGTACGTGCACCCCTCCCGACTGAAACCCTACGCGGCGCCGCGTGACCCCGTTTTGTGCCGTAACGACCGAGTGTGTGATGTGACCGTCGACTCGGGGAGGGATGTGTCGCAGGCTGATCCTCACGTGTCTCCACCTGACCCACCCCCAGGTGTCTCGGACCTGACGGCTGTTGACCGTCGGGATCCGGAACCCCGCGGCACGCGCGGAGCCCCGATGCCTGGCCCATGCCTTCCTGAACTGCCGGCACCACCGGACGGTCAACCGCGTCTGGTGCCGTACGACGGACCGGCAAGGCGGACTCGGGCTAGGACGCAACACTTTTCATGAAAACAGATTTTTTTTTCAAACCCGACCTCGCCGCTGTGTTCCCCCTCTGCCGGGGTAATGTCCCGTTCAAGGGACGCTCGGAAGGATTGGGACGCTGCACGAGTCGGAGAGAAAAGAAAAAAAAAAGAAAACTTTTTTTTTCTGCATACACATTTATTGTTGCCACTCGCCGGATTGTACATATTGTTCTTGCTGTTGGTGTGGCATTTGCTGATTTTTGCGGATTGCGGTGTTCGTGTTGTGTTGTTATGTTGTTGTTGTTGTGTTACGGGGCACACATGGGGGGGAGGGGGTGTTGTATATTTTTTATAGCAGCCGGGTCGGCTGCGAGCTATGTGGTAGGGGGTGATGTAGTGGTGGTGTTGACGTGCGCCGACAGTGATGGATCACGGGGCGCGGGGTTGGGCACGCGATGTGGGCGTGGTATGGACGCGCGCGCCGGTGGTGAGGCGCGCTGACACAAGCTGGGAAAAGAGGATCGTAGCCAGCGCGCAGTGATTGGTCAAATAGGATGGGTGCTCTCAGCGACGTCCACAGGAGGTGCATAAAGGGAGACGCGCGAGAGCACTCGAGGTTGTTGTTAACCAGTTGAAGACCGAAGACGGAGTGGAGGAGGTAGTGGCCCGAGACCCCTAGTCCCGCCGTCCTTGTCAGGACCGGGGCCCTGTGTGGCTCGGAGCCGAGACTGGGGGACCCGTAGTCCGACGCCCGTGTGGGTCGGGACGGTGGTACCCAGAGCCGAGACGGACACCCCAGCCGGGTGTGTTCCGGAAGGCTACGGGGCGTAAGAGCCCGTGTCAGTGTAGCTGAGTGGGTGTTAGTCACCCGAGTAGCTAAGTGGGTGTTAGTCACCCGTGTAGCTGAGTGGGTGTTAGTCACCCGAGTAGCTGAGTGGGTGTTAGTCACCCGAGTAGCTGAGTGGGTGTTACTCACCCGAGTAGCTGAGTGGGTGTTAGTCACCCGTGTAACTAAGTGGGTGTTAGTCACCCGTGTAACTATAAGTTGGTGAAATAAAAGAGTGTGCTACCCGTGAAGTCGTCTCCCGCCGAGTTACTACTTTACACATATATTATCGGACCAATTTAAGCAAAAACAAAAACGCTTAATATGAATGTACATAAGATAGGTTCTCTATTACTTTATTCTGGACTCGCCTACGGCGAGCTTGAGTGCCGTCGCGGACATAAACATCATTGCTTATTTACTCATCGCCGCAAACTGTTACAGGCTCAGGTCACTGTACACTACATTACTATACAACAACCGCCATTTGCCACTAAGTGGCAGTGACATCATCACGGCGCTTGTGCCAGGCTATATAATACACTATACACTACACTCTACACTACTGTAGTGACATCGCGAGATGTCACTGTGTAATGCCGGTCCTAGAGAGGCACGGCGTGCGGTGTAATGAATAGAGGGGCTCGGTCAGCGCTGATTGATAGCGCTGATGGCACCACGCTCGGCGTGCAGTGCCAGCCCTACAGAATAGGGTGTGGAAGTGCTGGCTGTAGGAATGAGGTTGCTAAAAGCCATGGCACTCTGGTTAACCCGAGAGGACAGGTGACCGGTTAAGTCTACAAAGGGGCCCCAAGTGAGGGCTAGGGGTGGTCACGTGGGCGGGGTCCAGATCCTGATTGAGGGTTCTGGAAGGTGGCCGTGGCTAAGGGCAGAGCCGGCCACGCCACAGAGGATATAAGCTGGGTCCTCCAGAGGGACCGGCGTTGTTGTTCATCCTGAAGAAACCTTCGTCTACGTCTACGTTCTCCGAGTCTCCAACACTTGGACCTGGAACCGAGCTGTGGTCCCGGTCCGTAGTAGCTAGTTACGTTGTAATTAGTGTAGTTATCCTGGTGGTCACCACCATAGGTTGTTATTCCGTTAAGGGGCAGTTGGTGTTAAATAAATGTGTTGCCTCCAAGAGTACGAATGCGACTAAGTTTAACTCACTAAACTACTATACACGACACACTACTATACACTACACTATTATTTTACAGCCTCAAGTCGGTTCTCTGCTGTCACCCCCTCCGAGTGGAACTCTCTAATCCCTGTGCACTTGTGCAACATCAAATGCACTCTTAAATTTCAAGAAACATCTAAAGGCCTCTATCTGTGTCTGGGTCAGGCTTTCAAGTAATTCTAAGCTTTGCTGATTTGTAGCTAATTTGAACTTTTATCCAGGTGTGGATGCATTTTTGATGTATTATCTATTTAAACATTTAAACCTAGGATTATTAATGTGGCTCCATGCGACTATTTAGCGCATATGTAAAGATAATGATGATGCATTACAGATTGATGAGAATGAGTGGCATTTGTGTATGAGGCGAAATAAATCGCCTGCCTTTGTCATCTTGCCTTCACCACTAGTTCCCCACCACCATACCTCACCTTACTGCTGTCGCCTTGCACTGAAGGCTCATGGTAGAACCCTAATGCAGCGTCACTCAAAATCTGCTTCGGACACCAAAGGTCTCGAACTGTTAAAGCCTCACGTCGGAATACGCTACACTACTCTACACTACACTATACACTACTGTACACTACACTATACATTACACTACTATACACTACACTACTATCCACTACACTATACTCTTACAGCCTCAGATTGGTTCTCTGCTGTTGCCCCCGCGGAGGGGAACTGTCTAATCCCTTTGCACTTGTGCAACATCAAATGCACTCTTGACTTTCAAGAAACATCTAAGGGCCTCTCTCTGTGTCTCGATGAGGCTTTCGAGCAGCCCTGAGCTTGGCTCTGCACTTTTGAGTTTTCTTTTTCTTGCAAAATCTGGCGTGTTAGTTTATTGCACAGCGCAATAAAGTAAACAACGAAAATTGTGATGATCCTTCAACAAATGGTAACAACTGATGGTCTCATACCGTGTTTCTGAAGCCACATCCACAGCTGCACATAGTGCGTCCTAACGGAGTAGAGGGCGTTCCAGAGTCTCTCGCACCCCTTCTCTCCCAGTTGAATGAAGTGGTTCAGAATGACCTCCGCAGTCTCCTCTCCACTCTTGCTTTTGGCCTTTCTGTAGAGATCTCGAGGGATCATGAGCGAGTCGTTGAGATGCTTCAGCAGGTGCGCGGGATCCACCCCGATCCAGGTTTTGAGATGTTTTCTGTCTTTTTGGATGAGCCTCAGTGTCTCGCTCTCATGTCTAACCTGAAGTGGAGAATACGAGGGTTGCTTTGTTGCATTTACCGGAGTTTTTCCCTCTGTCACCACTTGATTAAGCCTTTCCATTTCATTGTTGTTGGCTCCAAGGGTAGAACCTGTGAAATGAAGATATCAAAACATTTTCACCGATTCTGGATGAATGTTAATATTTTCACGTTCTACTGGTTTTAGATGCAGGGTACACATATGTTTTTAGTATTGTAAAACAGTTGTGATAACAGAGGTAGGTTCATAGGCTGGCAATAAATATAACAAAAAACAACTGACTTATACAGACTTCCTCCCAACATCTAGAGAACCAGATATCCAGAGTACTATGGACTTATACATTTGGAAATATTGAAATATCCAGGTGTGGGAGTCAATCGAGGAAAGTTGTTAAATAGGGACCTCGAGATGTGTCTACATCATCTACACTGCAGGAGAGGGGTAAGAAACTATAAACTATAAAACTAAACAAAAACAATCTTAGCAGGTAAGGCCTGATTGAGCTGTGTAGCTCTTTTGCAGAAGCGACCTGGCTATCACAAATGACAGCTCAACGAAGTGGCTTATCAGCATCACGTGGCAATTTATAGCAGCCAAATACTCTAAATATGTGACGTTGCTTCTAAATGTGTAGGGGGAAAATCGGAGGACCCGGAGAAAAATCCACACGACCACGGGGAGGGAGAGAGAGAAAGAGAGACGCAGACTCCAATTATACAGCAGGTGTCAGGGTTGGGATCATACCAGGCGAGGTAGTAAACATCACCTAGCCAGCGTAGCACCCACATCTCACCACCGTGGTACACGCACATTTTAATGCACGTATCATGATCATAATGATGAGTTTTAGTAGACATAATTGCATCCCAAATACCAGGGAAACCCCCTTTGAATTCAACCTTGGAAAATTCCACGTACCAGATCGGTTGGAGGAGAATTTCAAAATCAGCGTTTTCAATTTAGTCTTTGAGCACAGCAGGAATATCGCTACGGCAATCAGTAGCACTGCAAGGACGCAACTCAACACGATGGCGGCGACGGTCGTGTGTTGAGTAATATCTGGTAAAGGAGGAGAAAGAGAAACTATTAACAGATTCTCCAAATGAACACACCCTTACGATGTATTGTCCCATATGGGACACCATTATGTTGTATGAACCTAACTTGCATACACCAATGGTAAATCTTATAATCTTAACGGAATTTATATAGCGCCATAAGCTAGGCTTCTTACAGATAATTAACAACGGTGCAACACGAACGTGTATAACAATTTTTAGATTCAAAATTAGGGCTTAAGTGAAAATCCATGAGTTATTCATCTATATCAAAATCGCAGAAGCGCAGTTAATCCCCAAATCGGATAAACTGCATGCGGAAAATCTAGTGTCTACTGAAGAGTCTGTTCTCTTGTAATTCGTAGTGTTCATAACGCGAATTGGATGTAACGTGACGAATATATTCGAGGACAACATTTTCTTTCATAACGCGGATGCAAATTTGATGTAACGCGATCCAGCGAACGGACGTACGTTGCAGCGCGAGTTGGAATGAGCGGTCGCGCGGCTGCCTCAGCGTAGCATCATCACACAAAGAATTTGCATGCCGCTGGATGCTTCTAGATGCTACCCTACATGCACCTCGGTCTTTGTTCAGGCCCTGCGTTACGCACCATCTCACGCATTATCGTGGACTGTGCTTTATACCCCCTACTATATACATTATTTAAATAAGGCGATTTTTCCATAAAGCGGTGTCCTTCAGGAACGCAACTACTATTTCCACCACGTTGTAAGAAAACACTGTTGCAAGGTAATGTCAACCAACACAGCGCGTGGAAGGGTAAACTGGGTGCGGTTGGAGGTCTATCTTCAAGGAGGCCTCCACGCCATATCTGAGATCTCTCACCAGCTTAAGGGGTTCAACCCCAGCAAACCACGCAACATGCTGCTACAGTGCTGAAGGACTGCACAGCACTCGCATTCAAGGAGTTGGTCACTAGAAGAAGAAGAAGAGGGAGGGCCAAGTCGAGCCCCTCCACTGCAGGTGCCAGGGCCAAGTCGAAACCACTCCACTACATCTCGAAGGCAGCGAGGGACCTCATCAAAACAGACACCTGTGACAACTTTTATCTCCTGCACGATACTACATCGTCGGGTTTATCAACATGGGACAATAAAGGGGAAGGTTTCCATGCTATATCCATGGTACCCAGACGCCAGTGTTATCGAGAAGAAGTGGGTCCGTGTGGTTGGAGGGTAGATTCTGCTCTGGGGCGCCGCGTTGGCTAAGAGATGTGAACTCCCTCGTCTGGTATGCAGGAGGTCGTGGGTTCGATCAAGATCCTGACGACGCTTGCTGTTGTATATTTGGAGTTTGCTTGTCTCCCCCTCTCTCTCCGTGGTCACTTGATATTTTTTCCGGGTCCTTCGGATTTCCCCCTCCAAATTTAAAATCAACATCACTCATTTAGATTATTTGGCTACGGCTATAAAACACGGTGGGACCAATACTTTTCCCGTGGCTGATCATTATTTTAATGCGGCTGGCTCACACGAAATGTATTTCTCTAAGACAATGGTACTTTGCAAACCTACTGGCTATCAACAAAGATTTGTTCATGAAGCCATCCATATATATGTAGTGGCTTAACGCGCGCCAAGAGGGGAAATTGGAAACACGTGTGGGTTATAGACAGTGGGGTCGCATCAGGGCAAGCAGGTGTTGCTGGAGGATAACGGCCGGAGAGAGACGGCTCGTTAGGCGGTTATGGAATGCAGGGCAGGGATTGGCTTGTTGTTGTTGTCAGGGACAAGGTGACGCCAGCAAGTCTGGGGATGGGAGCAGGTGGCGGGGGGGGGGGGCCGCGGGCGCGGGGCGTCGGTGAGGAGGTCAGTTAATTAATTGGAAATTAATGAGGACAGGGATAAATAATATGGGAGCGTGAGAGTGGGATGGGGAGTTGTTGCTGAGAGCTGGACGGAGACAGTCGAGGAGAAGACGAATAGGTTAGCAGTGTAGACGGAGAAGAAGAAGATATGAGAGATAGAATAGGTTAGCAGTGGAGCAGGAGAAGAAGAAGATATGAGAGAGTCTGAGTGAGACGGAGTCGCCAAGAGAGAGCGACAGTTGGAGTGAGATGGAGACGAGAGAGAGAGACAGTCAGAGTGAGACGGAGAAGCCGAGAGAGAGCGACAGTTGGAGTGAGACGGAGTCGAGAGGGAGAGACAGTCGGAGTGAGACGGAGAAGCCGAGACAGAGCGAGACAGTCGAAGCGGTGACAGGCGAAGCAGAGAGGAGAGTCGGAGAGAGAGAGACAGAGAGAGAGGGAGGGAACGGAGCGAGCGAGGCCAGCGGAGCGCAGCGAGTGAGCAGAGATCGAGCTGAAGTCTCGGTTGTGGAATTTGAAGAGTTTTGTAATAAAAAGTGACGACGGGAAAAGAAGAAGTTGTCTGCGTAAAGTTGAGCACTATCTATACAGACACAATTTCAACCGAGAGGAAGGTTATAGACTCAGCAATCATTGGAAAGATGTCATCAACCAATTTGGGTAATGCCTTGACTTGTGTTTTTTTGCCAATCAACCTCCACCGTCAGCAGTGTGGTGTGTGGAGCAGCGTGCAGTGATTTCTTGGCGGCCCTTTGCTGCATTGGCATTGGTGCACCGCCCATGCTCCTGGTTGCCGCCAATACACTTGGGCCACGACCATCCCCACACCTTTATAAATATTTTTCCTTTAGAGGCTAACTCTTCTGCCTGATGACGATTGCTTGTGCTGCGATCGAAACGTCGTGATATTTTGTATTTTCTTTCTATCTACGTGACTTTACTGAAAGAACCAAAGAATACTGCTATAAATTTGCACATGCTGATGATATCAGCTATTGCTTCGTTGAGCTATCAATTGTGATAGCCAGGTCGCTTCTAAAAGGAGCTGCACAGCTCAGATTGGCCTTACCTGTTTAGAAAAAAATTTATATTTTAGTTTACACCCATTTGAAGGAGCAAAATCAAAACAATAATGCTTAGGTTGCAATATTTATTTACCCACAAAATACGCAGGCTAAGCAACATCAAGCATTCGCGCAAGCAAACGCACAGCAGGCATCAGAATTGGAATCGAACTGCAGTAAAACTGAATGGGTTACTCAATCCCTCGCGCTGACAGTCACGGAGTCCTTTGCGTGACAATCCTATCGTAACATTGTGAAGTACATTCATGCAGAACCATGTGTTTATATTCATTCCTCCGATGAAACAATCAGTAAAAATATATTGCCTTCAAGATACAATCCGCTGCTGCTGAATCAGTTACCAGCTGACTCGTCAAACAGCTTAATTGCGCTGGCTTGGGCACCGTTGCAAGCCTCTACTGCTACTACCTGTGTGGGGCTCTTCAGGCAGACAATTTCCCGAGTGGCCGTTTCTCTTGAGCCCCTCCGTGCACCGACAGACGGTGTCCTGGGCCACGGAGCAGTCCACATCCACCTCCTCACCTGTAATGAGAAAGCAAAAAATCTTGATTTGAAGCTTTGGTGACTGTAGGAATCCATACTCTTTGATTCTTTCAGTAAAGTCACGTAGGTAGAAATAAAATAAAACAAATCACGATGTTCGATCGCAACACAAGCGGTCGTCATCAGGCAAAGGAGTCAGCCTCTAAAGGCAAACTGTTTATAAGGGTTTGGGGATGGGCGTAGCCCAAGTGTATCAACCTACACCAGAAGCACGGGCGGTGCGCGAGTGCCAATGCAGCAACAATGCCAATGCAGCAACATTGCCAATGAAGCAACAATGCCACTGAAGCAACAATGCCAATGCAGCAGCAATGCCAAACGCTGGGGATGCGGGGGGAAATTAACTCGGAAAAATAGACTAGTACCCGGCAGATAAGATGGAACAACCATAAAGCAGTTAAGGTTTTACCTGGTTAATAACATCCTTCCAATGATTGCTCAATTTGTATCCATCTTCTCGGTTGAGGTTATGTCTATGTTTATATATCTGGATGACTTCATGAACAAACCTTTGATAGTAGCCCGAAGGTTTGCAGAGTACCTTGGTCTCGGAAAAAAACAATATCATGCGAGCCCACAGCGTTATAACAATGGTCAGCCATGGCAGAGGTTTTGGTTCTGCTGTGTTTCAAATCTGCTTTGTGTTCGCGAACACCACCATCCGGCACAGAAGAATTCGCTCATCAAAACACTATACCAAAGGGCCCACTGCATTTCCGACCAACACCACCTAGCCAGTGAATTGCAACATGTATACCAGGCCCTCAAGATGAATGGGTACTCGGACCGCATTATTCGCAAAGCTGTTTATCCAACCATGGAGAAACAACCCCCTGAGAAGCCGATCAAAACCATCACGTTACCGTATATAGCAGGTGTTACCAAAAAGATTTCCAAAATCTTAAACACAAGATCCAGGTCTGATTCAATACAGTACACAAAATCTGTGATCTAATCCCATCTGTGAAGGATGTCATTCCTGACATGCAATATGCTGGAGTCTACAAACTGAGTTGTACCTGCGGTAGCAGTGGCATTGGGGAAAAGAAACGAGATGTCTGATCGTGTTCGTGAACACAAAGCAGATTTGAAACACGGCAGAACCAATACCTCTGCCGTGGCTGACCATTGTTATAACGCTGTGGGCTCGCATGGTATTGTTTTTCCGAGACCAAGGTACTCTGCAAACCTTCGGGCTACTATCAAAGGTTTGTTCATGAAGCCATCCAGATATATAAACATAGACATAACTTCAACCGAGAAGATTGATACAAATTAAGCAATCATTGGAAGGATGCACTCGTGCACCACCCGTGCTTGTGGTGTTGGTTGATACACTTGGGCTACGCCCATCCCCAAACCCTTATACAGTAGAACCTCTGGTCACGAACGCTTCTGACCACGACCAAATCGGGTTCCGACCAAAAATTCACAAAAAAATTTAATCTGGTCACGAACACATAATCAGGTGGCAATCAAACACGGCCGCGGCCGATTTCCCCTTTCGCGCCATTTTTTTGTAAGCGCCAAATGTACTGTTGTTTGTTTACAAACAACAGCAGAGGCGTAGCTAGGATATTTTGCGCCCGGGGACAAACTATAAAATTGGCGCCCCCCCCCCCCCCCCCCGTTTAATCACATTTTCCTATTACATCGAATAAGGAATAACAATTAAAATTGTAATGAAACATTGTATTTAAAGAAGCAAATTTATAGAAATTATATTATATGGCTCACTCAGTCACTGTCGTAGACTGGTTGACAGTCTACAAAAGATACATTTTTCTTGATTTCACTGTCGCAAACTGGTCAATCACGTAATCAAAATCTGTTTTTTCCAATGTTTCTCTTTCAACGCTAAGAAGAGCAAGATTGCTGAGACGATCTTGTCCCATTGAAGCACGCAAATACGACAAAATAAGTTTCAATTTGCTGAACGACCGCTCACAGCTTGCAATTGAAACTGCTATTGTTAATAACATTTGCTGTGAAATTCGCAAATTCGGAAATATGTCGTCTCCATAAAACACAATAAAACCAAGAAGATCCAAAGGAGTTTCTGGTAGAACTTCATTCCGGTTACTGAGCAGCATTTTGCAATCTCCAATTTCTGTGAAAAGTTCGTGGCCATTAATGTCGGTGTCATAGAAATGTCCAAAATCTGTGCAATTTCGACGAATTGCATCGACATCTGTGTCGGATAGAAGAGTTTTGACGTCCAGCAGAAATCCAAATTTTGTGTTCAGGTCTTTTAGTCGTAAAAACCGTGTTGACATCTCCTGTTGAAGTCGATAAAATACACTTCATAACGCGCACAATTTCTTCTGCTGAAAGTCCTGCATCTCTTGCCAGTTCTCCTGGCATCTTCCGACGTCGCCTAATTCTTCTGTCCACATCGATCCCCCAGGCTGTGCATCTTGTTTTGGCGTTTTCTACAGCAACTTGGCTCAAATCATCACGAAGCTTGACAAATTCATGCTCCAAAGATTCAAGATCAGTTGCTGCTTTCTTGAAATTCATAGTAGGATCCTGTAAGCGCTTCTGAACACGATCAATTTTTCCAAGAATGACATTCCAGAAATGTAATAAAATTATGAAGTTAAAATGTAATACGCATGCCTGTGTAGTGAGTTACACCTGTAACTGTTCTGCATCACTTCTGGTTTCAGGCGTCATAGTTATGTCCTCCGATAATTTGTCTAGCAGCCCTACTAGTTCATCCAGTCCTTCATAGATAGCTTTAACAGCTTCTGATCGTGCACTCCAGCGTGTTTCAGACTCCCGCTTTACTGTGATGGGCACAGCTTTTTTTAAATCTTCCGAACGAATTGTTGAATGAGAGAAGAACAAATATATACTTTCAACTGTTCCAAAAAATGTGACAAGTGGATCCTGTTTAGCTGAGTGTACTCCTGCTAAGTTTAAGCTGTGGTTGTCACAGTTGACAAACAATGCTCTGTGATTTTTGTCACATATTCGTTGTTGAAGGCCGGATATATGCCCAGTCATCACAGCAGCATTGTCATAACATTGTGCCCGACAGTCGGCTAGAGGTATGTTGTCAGATTTCAGTCTCTCGACGATGACTCTTTCTAGGCTTGCTGCATCTTTTGCATGTATCTCGATATAACCTAAAAATGATTCTTTGATAGTTACTTTTTTTAGTTTGAAAATCCACATCCACAAATCTTATGACCTGAGAAAGCTGTTCTCAATGTCCTAGATCAGGAGTTGAGTCAAGTAAGTTACCGTAGTACTTGTTTTTCCTGATATCACTCAACAATTGGTTCTTTACAGTCGACGCAAGTAATTGGATAAATTCATTCTGGATTTTCGGTGACAAATAAGAAACTGATCCCGGATTTTCTCCTCGTGATGTACGTGTTTTGCTAACAATGGGTCATACTGAGCAACGAGTTTGATCAGAGCGAGAACGTTTCCAACATTTTTATCCTCATCCGCATTAAAATTTTCCGCGTACCAAAATGTAATTACATGACATGTAGGCTGTGTGTGGCGGGATATATAAACTTTGAGGTTGAGGTGTAGATTTGTGCAGTAGTTTCAGGCTGCCGCGCCCGCCGCAATAAGTTATAATGTAACGTTGTAATCTTCATTTTGGCGCCCCTTTACCTTGGCGCCCGGGGACATATGTACCCCCCTGCCCCCCCCTAGCTACGCCTCTGAACAACAGCGACCCACGGTGTGGCCGCTTGCTCAGTCAGTCTCGCTTAGTAATCGGTCTCGGTAAGATATTAATTTTGTGAGTGTAGTCATACCCCTCCCCCCTCATTCAAGCCGTAATTTAGAGAGCGAAAAGCGCTGAGTACGTAAATCGCTAACACAAGAACCCGGTAATCTCTTCTCGCATCATTCATACGATGATGTGGTGAAGTAAACGTTCATACAATATTACGGCGAATGCTTCCAAAAACAATACTGTACCCAAATATTACTGTTAACTTACTTTCAATAGAAACATGAATTGCTCATACGAATATTCTCTCTCTCTCTCAGAATCGACCGACTGATGTAGCAGACGAAACAATAATCTTGTTGAACGATTCTAAACCTTGACGCGGCAATGTTAGTTTTCTCTGTTGTTCAAGGTTTTCTCAGTGTTATTCAATGTTTTTACATTTATTTTACTACTACACTGTGAATTCTATGGCATAATTAACAATTTTTGTGCTTAAAAGTCTTTTAAAAAACTATTTATATACAGTTCGTAGGAGTCTGGAACGGATTAATCATATTTACATACAATCCAATGGGGAAATTAGGTTCGAGTCACGACCAAATCGGGTTGCGACCAAAGTTATGGAACGATTTATGGTCGTGACCAGAGGTTCTACTTTAAACAGTTTGCCTTTAGAGGCGGACTCCTTTGCCTGATGACAGCCGCTTGTGTTGCGATTGAAACGTCGTGATTTATTTTACTTGATTTTAATTCTAACTACGTGACTTTACCGAAAGCAAAAAATGTTGATCAGGTCTCAACGCAGATGAATGGCTACGTACAGTGCGAAAGCAGTTTAGCATGTATACACACACAAAGACCCACAGATTACCATGGTTGTCTACGTACGGTTCGAAATAAGGCCAAGGTGGTACACAAAGACCCATAGACTCCCAGACCCATAGAGACCCACGGAGATCCACAGATTAGCATGGTTGCTACATACGGTGCGAAAGAAGTTCAACACGCATACATATACTCTTTGGTTTTTTCGGTAAAGTCACGTAGGTTAAAAGAAAAAAAAAATTACATCACGACGTTTCAGAGGCAACACAAGCTTCCGTCTTCAGGTGAAACCGTCACAGCAAAATTGCTGTATCAAGTAAAGTCCCAAGAGACACGACCTTATATACTAGTTAAGGGGGGAGGAGCCAGGATGGGCCGCGGGAGAGGAGTTGTTGTGAGATGGTCAGTACGGCTGCTGGAACTGAGCCTTTGTAATGTAGATGGCAGAAGTAGATAAGCAAGCTAGGATTAAGCCGCCTTTTGTTATGCTGCTGGGTGGGTAAAATTCAAAGCAGGCCACCAGCGTGTGAAAAAAGAAGCTAAACATGATAAAACAAAACTGCCTGCCTATCAGTAAACTGCATGTTAACTAAAGTAAAAAAAAAGCTAAACATGATAAGCAACCTCTTCTTGGTTCTTTCGGTAAAGTCACGTAGAAGGGAAGTAATAAAATAATAAAAATAAAACATAATAAAATAATTCTCACGACGTTTCGGCGACAACGCAAGCAGCCGTCCTCAGGTGAAGAAACAGGTCTGTCGAGAAGACAGCGTCTGAATAACACGCCCCAGGCTTGGAGCGTCTATTTAAGCTAGGTTGGAGTGGGAAGGTGCGCCTTAACAAAATAAGTGTGCATATCAATAGGAATTTAGCATATTTATGGGAAATTCAGATATGGGATTAGTACTATTTGTGAAGTGCGTAGGAGGTGGGAAGGGGGTTTAAAGTCATTATGCCCGTGCATTATGCAGGATTCGCAGAATCAAAGGGAGGGGGTAGGAGTAGCATTAATGAAGTGAAGGAATGTTATAATTGGTTTTGTACCCTTCTATCTGGCAACAAAACTGACACCTTTTTACAAGGAATCATGTTTGTATAGACCGCAATACCTGCAGTCATAATACAAACAAAAGATATAACTCTGATAATGTGCACTGTCCTTGAAGTTGATTGGTCCACACCCGAGACAGCTTTCCTTAGAGCCTAGTCTCACATGGGTTGGACCAGATGACGCCAAAAGGTGCCAAAAGGTGCGCCTTTTGGCGTCATCTGGTCCAACCCATGTGAGACTAGGCTCTAAGGAAAGCTGTCTCGGGTGTGGACCAATCAACTTCAAGGACAGTGCACATTATCAGAGTTATGTCTTTTGTTTGTATTATGACTGCAGGTATTGCGGTCTATACAAACATGACTCCTTGTAAAAAAGGTGTTAGTTTTGTTGCCAGATAGAAGGGTAAAAAAACAATTATCATATTTTTACTGGCAAATGAGGTTCCCATAGTGAAGGAATGTTAATAGTATGTAGCTGCAGTAACTCAACCACCACGTAAACAACTAAAGTATAAATTACATAGTATCATCAGTATACTAAATATACTCTCCAATAAGCTGATCTACTAACAGTAAGTAATACATTATAATTATATGTCGCAAAATTATAATATGCTTCCAGCTAAACTTAATTCTCTTACATAACACGGGTCTACCCCCTGCTATATACTGCTATAGACAAACCCAACATTAAATTATATACTGTATTACTATACATTGTAATATTACACTGTATTATTCTACCCACCCTACTGTATATCACACTGCTGTATATTCACTATACAATTACGATACTATATATTACTTTATACATTGTATTAAACATTACAATTTTATACAATTTATAATTATAAAATCCGCTATACACTATACCATTGACCGTCGCGTGAAAGATACTAAGAGGAAGCAAACGAAATATGTCAATAGGAGAGTGGTGGTAGGAGGCTTGCAGCGGAGCAAAGAATCAATTCCCTGCGGAGAATACAAGATATATAGTCAATGCCAGTGAGTGGACTGCGGTCAATGATATCATTAACTGGTATGTGTCTAGGTGTGACTGCAAAGTTTAGTCCTTTAGCTAAAACGGATTTCAGACCATCAGAAATAAAACTGTTACAGCGATTAATTACGACTTTGTTAACGTCTAGCTTTTCAGTGTGTGGGTCCGGTCTCTTGTTTGAGAGGCGGTTGAATTTGGAAATCAAGTTGTCCTTACATTTGGTCGACATAGCGGCAGCTGAAGAGGTAGTCATATTGTCTACATGTTCCCAATCCGATGTGGACATTGTTGCAGTCAAAGATAAGTGTGATTTGTGGAGTGTCTTGTCTAACTGATCTAGTTCGGTGCGTGTAAGTCTGATTTTCTCTGAGATAAGAGCTAAGCAAATGATAAGCAACGTGTTGTGATGTTAATGGTGGTGCGTGGAGCTGGGGGTAACATACTGGTAATATGGATATGTTTAAGAAGATACATCTAAACTGGCTGTCTATCAGTAAACTGCACGGTAACTAAAGTTTAACTTGGTTAATTACATCTTTCCAATGATTGCTCAATCTGAATCCATCATCTCGGTTGAAGTTATGCCTGTGTTTGTATATCTGGATGGCCTCGTGGACAAATCTTTGGTAGTATCCAGGAGGTTTGCAAAGTACCTTGGTATCTGAGAACACAATGTCATGAGAACCAGCAGTATTATAAGTGGTCAGCAACGGCCGACGAATTCATCTTGCCATGTTTCAAATCCGACTTGTGCTCGCGAATGCGGTCAGCAATGTGTCGTTTCGTTTCCCCAATATAGCAGTCACCACAGGTACAACTCAATCTGTAAACAACGGGGTACTGTAATTCAGGAATGGCGTCCTTTATGGATGGGATCAGATCACGGATTTTGTGTACTGTATTCAATCGGACCTGGATCTTGTGTTTGTTAGAATTTTGGAAATATTTTTGGTAACGCCTGCTATGTATGGCAACGTGATGGTTTTGATCGGAGTTTCAGGTGGTTGTTTCTGCATGGTGGGAGAAACAGCTTGGCGGATAGTGCGGTCAGAGTATCCGTTCATCTTGAGGGCCCGATGTACATGTTTTTATTCAATTCATCGTCGTGATTTAATTAATTTGTTTTCTTTTAACCTACGTGACTTTACCGAAAAAACCAAAGAGTATGAATCCTTGCAGTCACGAAAGCTTGAAATCTAGATAGCATACATATGTAGTGGCATAAAATCAGTAATGTAGAAGCATAGTGCTGGCTGCTCTTGGGGAAGGGGATCTGTGGCTTACAGCAGCCCTGACGTCAGCAGGCCAGGTTATACAGAGGGGGATCTAGGGGAAAGGTCACAGAAGGGGCACACCAAGAACCCGTTGGTAGGTTCTAGAAAGGAAGCGTGACCGGGGGCGGAGCCAGGCCACACTGACAATATAAGAAGGGCCCCTGTGCAGGACCTCAGGGCTGTCGTATTGAGTGGGATCCCCGTCGTGCTGCTGAAGTCTTCACCATTCTTCTTGTCATCATCTCCGTCTTCCCCATCTTGGAGCGTCACCAGTCAGGCAGCCTACCAACTGTCCTGACTGAGTAACGTTGCTGATCATAGACGGACTTATTATAAAGTGTTCACCCCGATGGTGCTTTCTAATAATGAAGTGCCTCTAACTCTTATTCGTCTCCGAGTTAGTCACTACACACACATTAACCCCCTCTCTGGTCTTCACACATGATTGGCTCACAAGTGAAGACATCACATTTATCCCTCTATTTAAAACGAAAACAAAATTATTTCTCCACAACTCTGGCTGTTGCCTGATGCCACTGGTTGTAATTACTGGCTAAACATCACAATATTCTAAGTGTAAATGTTGTTTACTCTCTAACACACCAGTGTATTAAACTAAAAACGAATTGGTATGTTTTGTTTATGTGACAAGCCTTACGAATTGGCTGTGTCGGGTGGTGGCGGGTTTAACGACACATTTATATTCACGTGATCCAACCCAAAAATCGATATTATGGATACGTACATGCACACTAATATATACTACACTATACACTACACTATACATAACCTCCAATAAGCACGGTTGGCTACGTACGGTGCAAAATAAGTTCAACATACATGCACACTACTTTACACTACACTACTATACACTACACTTCAATACACTACACTACACACAACCTAAGATTAGCATGGTTGGCTATGTATGGTGCAAAAAAGTTAAACAATCGTACAATATCCTGGATTTGAATCTGGATTTCAGCTGCCTGTGATTATACCGAGTTGATATTAAGTAGCTGCACCAGAAACGATCGTGTTATAATAGATTTTTCAATTCATTTGGCAAAGTTCGAGCTCTGAGAATTAGACATTTCAAGTCTGATTGCTACCTGTCTATTAAAATGACACAATTGCCTAACCCGAGCATGAATAAAGGAGCCTACTAATGGGAGTAAAGATGTGGTTGTCATCTTCGGTGGCATGTGAGAGTTTCCAGGCATTCGTTGTCTCTTGACAAGATCATGATTTGGACAATTGGAATATTTAGTTCGAGGTGGGATTGTCTCTCTTTTAGAACGTTTTGGTCAGTTGCTCGTCTTCTGCTTCATGCCGGTTAAAATCGGAGTATCAAGATGAACACCCATCACGCATACAAAATATAAATATCACGCACAATGCAGATATGACAGCCACCTACTTGCTGTGCTGCAACTTACCTGGACCACAGCTGCTGCACCATGAGCAATTCCTTTCCTGGTTGTTTCTGTGCATAAAAGTGCCCTTAATGCACAGGTCACACAAAGCCTTCCTTCCATCAGCTATGCAGTCCACCACCTTGAACGTCCCTGAAGGACAACGAAGTGTGAGCAAGCAATGGAGTTGTTACAAGCACACAGCGACCACAAGTTGGTTCAGAGAGACACGGGCTGCACTGCATTCAACCAGTGTTAAGTTCTGTTCAGAGTACAATAGCTTGACTTAAAACTAATTTCTTCAGTAGCGAATCACTTTTTGTATCCTGATAGTGATGAGGTCACGGGGTAAACGCAAGGGCCAGTTGTGTTCCTTTCCACAGGAGTAGGGCCTGTGACTTGGTTGGGACAGGAAGGACCTGGCCACCACACTTTGTCGTTCCACAGGGATTGGGAGTCTCCGTGCCTTTGTGTTGCTTTTACCTGCAGGGCACAACCGGCAACAGACTCCTTCTGGTGATTTGTAGAATCCATCTCTGCACTCCTTGGCGGCAGACGGCTCCTGCAGTGCACAACACACCTGCAGAGAAGGTTCACACAGAATGGAGTGATTTAGGGTTACGTCACCAAACGTCGCATTTCTGGTAGCTGCGACAGTCCCGGTGCTTTCAGAAGCATTTATTTGCATTGGTATTTTGTCCCGAATCCATACCTGGTGTTCAATAACTCGGGTAAAATGGTCATTGAATTGTCTTCAGACACAAAGACACACCTTGTATATTGAACCAAATTCTCAACCTGTCTGAATTTGGTGTTCACTAACTCGGATAAATGGTCAGAGAATTGTCATCAGACACACACACCTTGTATATTGGAAAATTGCACATTCTGATGGCATTAGACGGACCAATTTTTCAATTTGCGAGTTCAATTCCAAATCAGAGGTTGACCCAACCCAGCACTTTTTTTAAAAACGCCAGATAATCACCAAATAATTATTTATTTGCACATTCTTGCATGATGCTATATTTTCAGGTGTTGCGCCTATGTTTTTTTGTGCTTTACATTTATATTGTTTGGTTATTTTGGTAAAGTCACGTAGATAGATAAAAAAAACAGAAACAACGACGTTTCGATGTGTTGTGATCGAAACGTCGTGGTTTCTGTTTTATTTTATTTTATCTATCTACTTGACTTTACCGAAAAAACCAAAGCATATTAATTCTGCAGTCACGAAAGTTTTAAGTGAAAATTTACATTACGTTTGTTTACTATGTGAAATTGGCATTAATAAAAATACAAATAGACTAAAATAAACATATTTTTGGGGTCTTTCGGGAAAGTCGCGTAGATAGGTTCAAAGAAAATTACAAAAATAACAAAAAACTACGACGTTTTACCACGACGTTTCGATCACAACACAAGCGATTGTCATCAGGAGGAAAATAAGAGGGGGAAAGCTACTGAGGCAGACTGTTTCAAAGGTTCAAATGGGTGTAGCCCTAGGGTCATAAACGAAGTGGGCAGGGCTAGTGATGTCAATGTGAGAAATTAGCATGTAAATGTAAGATCGGAGAGCGGCCTCCACGAGGGCGTGGAGGTGGCTATGTTACTGTGAGAAATAAAGTATGTTCATGGCAGATCGCAGAGCAGCAACGTCGAGCTCAGCGAATGAGGTGGCTGTGTTAGTGTGGGAAATTTAACCTCTTAATGTAAACCTGGTAATTAAATAAACATCCTACTTTAAAACGTTACTGTATTTACTGTACCGTACTTACCACTACCAATCTCGACGACTGTGCATGGGGTAATGTTCATACGTGCAGTATTTTCATTGTTTAAGTTGTATGTAGTGTATAATGTAGTGTATATACTAGTTTACACGGAAATAAAGCATAGCTACGTGTTTTTGTCACACACGAGGTGCCGATAGCCGGACTCGTTACATTCTTTGGGAGCGGTTTCGCCGGATAATGTTGGATAATGGCGCACCGAATAATTGATGATCGACTGCATTCTTAAAGTGCTCATAACAAGGGGAACATTTTTAGAGGTTTTTTTAGTGTGTCCATGAGCGTGGCCTGGCATTGTTGTGTAATAAAAGACTCCGTCAGGCACTGCTGGTCTCCGCTTGTCTTTTATTTAGGTTCTCCGCACCCCCCACTGGCCTCCTCTCTGACCAGTGTCGTCTCGCGCGCGCCCCGCGCACGCTCCCTCTCGCGTGCTCCGCACGCTCCTCCATTAGCTCCTCTATTCCCGCACTCCGCACACCGCTGGCCGACGGCGTGCAGAGGTCCTTCGGCCACGTGGCCGATGGCGCGGATCTTTCCTCACCACCCAACGTGGCTCAGCCTCTTAACTTCCCTGACTGCCCTGATCTCTTCCGGGCTCTCACTTATATACATTCCCCCCCACGTGACCCTGACTCCTCCCCTTCCGGATCCTCAGATCCGGCCTTCCCATACTGCTCCGCCCCCATTCACCTCGCCTCCCATTGGAGACGAGGTGAACGGTGGCCCCTCCCACACGCCCCGCAGACCAGGCTCCGCCCCTCAATACCCCGGGCCGTGTGATTGGACCCGAGCCCAGCAACAACCCCATTTATGCTTGCATTACAGTTGCATAGAGAGCGAGCGTGGAATTGACTGTCACACCACAAAAACGAGGTGAAAATATTTCAGGAAAATTCGTGCCACTTCAAGGAAATGTTTACATATCCCCCCCATCACTAACCCCTATCCACACTAACCCAAATGTTGCCTCTGCGACACATTGTGATTACTTTTACTGGCTCCAATAAGGAAGTATAGGTATTGTGCAATATTGTGTTTGTTATTGCAGCAGCAGCATACTGGCTATTCACCCAGATGCGGGAGTCGGTTTTCACACAAGGTTGAGAGAAAAGAAAAACATCTATTCTATCCGTCCTACCGAGTCTAACAACTCGCAAAAGGGACTCGTCTCACGTCCTCTGGCTTGGTTAAACACAAGGACGACGTTAATCAATCAAAGGGTCGAATGAATAGAATTGGGCTCTCAACTGATTGAACGGCATCAGTCAGTCCATCAATATCACCACCACTACCCACCATTCACCGCCCACAGAAAACCACAGGCTCTGACGGTTGGCTACGTACGGTGCAAAATAAATTCAACATAAGTATATACACAGAGACCCACAGACAGCAAGACCCATAAATACATAGAGACCCACAGATTAGCACGGTTCGCTACGTATAGTGCAAAATAAGTTCAACACAATACATACACAGACACCCAGACCCATAGAGACACCCATAAAGGTTAGCTTAGTTGGCAATGTACGGTGGTGCGAAAGAAGTCCAACATACACACGTACACACACGTCCCACCCAACACCCAGGGCTTTCAAATAACCACGCAGAATCGTGTACAAAATTCACTCCGCCTTGTGCACATTACGCAAAAAAATGCCATCAGCAGTTTCCGAAGAACTATATCGTGGTCCTTGTGTCTCAGTGTCACCAGAATTAGTTTTTTTTCTTCCATTTGCAAGTAAATTTCTAATTGTGGCTACATTTGGACCGTGACGCTGGCAAACAATGGCTTTCTCTTGTGAACGACATCACGGGACGCCCATTACACATTGGGGTTGGTGACACACGCAGTCGCGAACGGGGCAGCCACTGGAAATCGAACCCCGATTCGTCTGCAACGCGGTGGCGAATGCGTTTACCACTGGAGGGCCATACCAAAGGCGTCGATGGCGATACAAAAATAAAGGTTGGGGAAAACCCAGATTCTCATTTAATGTGGTAAAGTGTAAAGAAGCCGGTTGGACTGGTTTCGACCCACAGTGAGCGTGGCGGCGGATGTGAGATGGATATGTGTGATATGAGGCCTGTTTCCTTAAGAATTTGAGGCACATCGTGCCATTTATAACCTCGTGTTTTTCACACCAATGTTGTTGTGTTAGCCTCTGTGATGATGATTACGACTGTTTTAAAAAAAATATGTACGAATCTCCCATTAGCAAGGTTGGCTACGTACTATGTGAAAGACGTTCAACGTGCGTACATACACAGACGCGCATAAACCCAGACCCATGAAGACCCACAGTGGCCCAAATAATTATCAGGGCATCTTAGGAGCACACACACTACTATACACTACACCAGTGGTTCTTAGCCTGGGGTGCACGCAGACCTGGGGGTGAGAGATGCCCTTTCTGGGGGTGCGAGACACGGACGGATTTCTTTTTACACGGTAAATCATAGAAACACAATTTAAACACGGGCACGTAACCACTGTTTCATCAAACCCGATGTATTTTTTAACATTACAATTTTTTAAATAATAATTGAGAACCAAACGGTTACAAGTAAAGGTTAAGAACCACTGCACTACACGATACACGACACAACTATATACCACACCACTATGCGCTACACTACTATACACAACCTCCGACTAGCACGTTTGGCTACGTACGGTGTGAAAGACGTTCAACATAGTAAGCTGTGGCCCCTTCCACGAAAGACACATGTGAGCATGATTTCCTTATTGTGGAGAAGCTGTTGCACAACAGCTTCCACACAGCAGCTTCTTGACACAACGGGACCACGAATCCAATGGCAAGGAGACCAAGGACGATTGGAGACGTCGTTCTGCTGAAGGCATCGTCCGCCGTCACAACCGTTGAGATGTTAACATCTTCTTCTGCCTGCTGCTCCCGTTTAGGACTTGTTAACCCGTGGCTGGGGCCAGGTAGTCTTATTCTAATGGAGGTATATAATCACAATGTCACAGCATCGTCAAAGGATATACTATACTACTATATACCACTGCTCTAGAGGAGTTGTACACCCCTAGCTGCCACTGCAATTCAGTGGCCTAAAATAAAATGTTTCGCTCCGGATGATCGCTGCAAAGTATGACCTGTGTTTTGATTTAGTGTGCTGATCTTAAAGGTGCATTGAAAAATTATAATACTCCGATTGATGCTCCTACTGTTGTGGAGTGACTCATGCAGCCAGCTATGGCTTGCAGGGTTTTGGTAGTACATGTTGTTTATGTCGTTTATTGTAAAAATTCCGTCACAGTTCTTATGATCACTGTTTCATTGCTTTCATGGCTTTATTTGGTGATTTCGAAAAGTGTATTGGTTTAGCCATGTTTGTTTGTTGTAGTACAGAGTTAGACTGATGGCCTTAATCTAAGTTGCCTTGTGGTTTTTGTTGTTGTTTGACTTGCATCCCACTGGGATTTTTGCACAGCGTTGGTGTACGGTGTTTTTTCTGCAATATTTTGCTGTCTTTTCTTGGATTTTCTGTTTGCACTCAGTCACATATTCACTTTAAGATGTTTTTTTGTTCATGTTTTTGTTTTTTGTTTGTTGCTGTTGCACCCGATTCAAGAGCAGAATGGCTCACAGGGCTATACCTAATAAATTAACTTGAACTTGATATACGTGGTGGTTTTTCAAGAGAAAAAATATATTTCCATCTGCAGTCCTTACGACACCCCTTGCTGGTGCTGTTTCGGATGAATGGACTGTTCAACAATGCCCCCCTCCCTTCGTTTCTTAACCAATATTTCTTGTATGAGAAGAGAGAGAGAAAAAACATTGTTCATCACTTTAAAAAGAGCCAGGCTACTATACTGATAAGTCTACTGAAAAGTCTGCCATTGTACATCACTCTAGAAAGAGTACTGAGTTTGTAAATGTTTTGGGTTTGCTCTCCAACACACGAGTGGTGTCGTACTAGTAACGAATTGGCACGTTCTGTTTACGTGACTAACCTTACTAGTTGGCTGTGTCGGGTGGTGGCAGGTTTAACGACACATTTATATATTTACGCGATCTAACCCTGTATTAAGCTTTAAGGGAAAACCCCATGAATTATTAATTCACGTCAAAATCTCAGGTTTGTGGTTAAGTGGCAGATCAGGTCAACTGCACAGCGGATAATTGAGAGTGTGCTGTATATCCAAGCCACATTGTTACTCGTCTACACAAGGCAACACGCGCCAGTGTGGTTCTCTGGTCTGCCCGGAGGCAACACGTAGCAATCTTGACACCCCAAGCTGCCGTCGTGGGTGCATATATCTATCGAACAAATTAGTCGAGTGTATAACAAGGCATGGGTTACTGTGGTACCATAGTGTTTTGTTTGTTATATACGTGATTTATACCTATATATGCATATTGAACGTCTTTCGCATCGTATGTAGCAAACCATAATAATCGGAGGTTGGGTGGAAGGACAACAATCTAATCGCAGTTTATGTAAACGTTGTAAACAATTTAAGTCTAAAACAGGCAGACGCCTTCAGACAGGCAAGCGGCAAGGACAACCAATGTGGGACAGAGAGATTGGCAGCCACGCATCGGTCTCCACAGCCACGTCATATACGTTAGTTATGGTGGCTAGGTTAAGTGGCTGATATCATCATCAAGTGCAAATGTATAGCAGCAGCCACATACTCGAAACGTGTGATTATTTATTCTAAATGTGCAGAGGAAAAAACAGAGAACCTGGAGAAAATTCCAGTCGACCACCCGGGTGGAGAGAGAGACACAAACTCCAAATATACAACAGAAGGTGTAGTGAGGGTCGTGATCAAAACCACGACCTCCTGTATACGAGGCGAGATAGTTCACATCTCCTAACAACCGTGGTGATGATGATGAGAGACACGCAAACTACAAATATACAGCAGCAGGCACTGTCAAGGTCGGGATCGAACCCAAACCCTCCTGTAAACCAGGCGAGGTAGATAACATCTCCTAGCCACCGTGGCGCCCGTTAAGAGCGGTGGCCCTCACCAAAAGTAGAAGCAGAAGACGCATCTCTGTCCACAGGGTCATGACACCGCTCCGGCTCCTCGTCACATCTCTCGGTGTTGACCGTCTGTGTGAGTGCGTGAGAGAGGTTCAGTGTGGATGATGAGAGAGCAGATCGGTGTGTGTGTGTGGATTTGTGTGAGTGGGGTGTGTTTGAGTGTGTGAGATGTTGAGTGTCTGTGTGAGACTGGGCGGAGTGAGGGTGTTGTGTGTGTGCGGGTATGATTGAGTGTGGGTGAGTATGAATGTGTGTGCGTGAGATTCGGTCTGGACGAGGGTGGATCGGTGTGTGTGTGATTGAGCGTGGGTAGGATTCAGTGCGGGTTTGTTTTAGTGAGAGATTGAGTGGGTGAGTGTGTGTAAGTGAGGGTGGGTGAGTGAGTGGGTGAGTGTGTGTATTTGGGTGTGGGTGAGTGAGTGTGTGTGTGTATTTGGGGTAGATGAGTGAGTGGGTGAGTGTGTGTATTTGGGGTAGTTGAGTGAGTGGGTGTCTGTATTTTAAAGTGGGTGAGTAAGTGGGCGATCGTGTGTATTTGGGGGTGGGTGTGTGTATGTGAGGGTGGATGAGTGTGTGTATTTAGGGGTGGGTGAGTGAGTGGGTGAGTGTGTGTATTTGGGGGTATATGAGTGAGTGTGTGTCTGTATTTTAAAGTGGGTGAGTATTTGGGGGTGGGTGAGTGAGTGGGTGAGTGTGTGTGTATTTGGGGGTGGGTGAGTGAGTGGGTGAGTGTGTGTATTTGAGAATGGCTGAGTGAGTGGGGGAGTGTGTGTATTTCACAGTGGGTGAGTGAGTGGGTGAGTGTGTGTGGGGTTGAGAGCGTCTGTGTAAGAAGTGTGGTTCTTGAGTATGGATGTCTGTGTGTTAGACTGGGGACTGTATGTCGGTGAGTATGAACGAGTGTTTGAGTCTGTCTCTCTCACCACTCTTTGGCGAACATCGCGGTGATCGTGCGTGGGTCTTCAGAAAGCGCCTGTTATAATAAAATTTCACGTCAAGAAACGATTCACCTTTGTTGGCCTGCCGATGTACGGATGTTATTTGGTGGAAATGCTCACCGTGGAATGCGGCCAAGTGAGTTGTAGTTTCGTGTCACTGTTGACATACGACGTACAGTGGTAACACAGGTGAAGCACTGAAATATATAGTACATTGTGAGGCTTCGTGACCGTAGAGTGAGTGGGTGGGTCTCGACATTTGCCACAGGGTGGAAACAGATCTTCTACCGTACGGCTGCTGTTGTCGATGGCAGAGATTACGACCAAAATTTTGCATTCACGTGGTCAAGTCAACCGATAACCGTAATCAGGAGCAAGGGGAGTATATTGCCGTGATGTCTCTATTAGTCTATGGATCTATGCGTGTCTATGGGTCTCTTTGGGTCTTTCTGTACCTGGGTCTACATGAGGCTCTGGGTCTTGAGTCTCTGTGAGTCTCTATAGGTCTGTGAGTCTCCGTGAGTCTCTATGGGTCTGTGAGTCTATATGAGTCTCTATGGGTATCTGAGTCTCTCCGTCGCTATGGGTCTCTGAGTCTCTGTGAGTCTCTGTGGGTCTCTGAGTCTCTGTGAGTTTAAATGGTCTCTGAGTCTCTGTAAGTCTCTATGGGTATCTGAGTCTCTATGGGTATCTGAGTCTCTATGGGTCTCTGAGTCTCTGTGAGTTTCTATGGTCTCTGAGTATCTGTGAGTCTCTATAGGTCTGTGAGTCTATATGAGTCTCTATGGGTATCTGAGTCTCTCCGTCGCTATGGGTCTCTGAGTCTCTGTGATTATCTGTGAGTCTCTATGGGTCTCTAAGTCTCTGTGAGTTTATATGGTCTCTGAGTCTCTGTGAGTCTCTATAGGTCTCTGAGTCTATATGGGTCTCTGAGTCTATGTGAGTCTCTATGGGTATCTGAGTCTCTCCGTCGCTATGGGTCTCTGAGTCTCTGTGGGTCTCTATGCGGCTCTGAGTCTCATGAGTCTCTATGGGTCGCTGAGTCTCTGTGAGGCTCTATGGGTCTCTGAGTCTCTATGGGTCTCTAAGTCTATGTGAGTTTCTATATGTATCTGAGTCTCTATGGGTCTCTTCTTGTCATATGGCTGATGTAGATGGCAGAGACAACAATAATGATGTCACATTCAGGTGGTCGAGGCGGCAGACAACCATGATCAGGAGTAGCGGAGTAGTAAATCGTCATCGCTGTGATGTCTCCTGCTTCGTATTTGTGGATCGGGGCATTGCGTCGCTACACCTCGTACTACGATCTCTCGTTCTGGATGACAACAGTCGCACAACTACAGCCCGAGAGGTTTCTAATGTTCCATTTGTGCATCAGGGTATCATCCATAAGCAGCTTTGTGGAAGAGCGAACCCAAAATACCGATGCAGTGCTAGAGACATGCTCCCTGCATGTTTCGTATCGACTACAGCAGTGGTGGTTCTTAACCTCGGGACCACTGGGGAGTACACATGACGTGATTTATAAATGTGTGAAATTATACTATACATGAAAGTCATTGCATACTACACTATACACTACGCTAACGACTACTATAGACTATATACTATACTATTATACAATACACTACACTCTATACTACGATACACTACACTATACAATACATTACGCACTACACTCTACACTACTATACACTGCACTATACACTATGCTCTACTCTACAATACACCACTATACACTATACTGTACACTGCACTATACACTATGCTCTACTCTACAATACATCACTATTCACTGCACTATACACTACACTATACACTACATTGTACACTGCACTATACACTACACTGTACACTACACTGCCCTACAGCAGTGGTTCTCAACCGGTGATACGCGGACCCCTGGGTGATACACGTGGCAATTGCCCACGGGGTGTATGTACGTGAAGTGATTTTTAAACGCGTGTGAAATGATATCATAACATGAAAGTCATTGGTGAATAATCCCGTTGTGTGTATGATGAATCTTGTTCTGCCTCACGACAGGTGTGGAGGTGTGTGTACACAGGAAATTCCTGTTGAGTTTGGTCACGTGACCAGGAAGTTACGATTTGACATCCTCTAAGCCATCGGCCATTACACAGAGTACAAAATGGTGGCACAAATAGCGTCTCAGTGAAAACAGGTGCAACTGTTCATTGTGGGACTTTAAGAAGCATTGTCTGTAAGTTCGTTTACTTTCTTATAATACTGGGAATGCTGTAAATGTCTTTATAATGCTGTTAAATTGTTATGATAAATATGAGGCCTAGTTAACAACGAAGCCTGCCACTTACCTTATTGTGGATGTTACTTGTAATTGAATAAGTCGAGTCAGGCTTGTTCCCATGTAACTTTTTTGCGATCTTGAGAGCAAGGTTGACGAAATATCTCATTCACAGTTCAGTGTTATGTGTAGTGCTGTACATTTAGGCTGCAGTATGGTAATTACACGAAGTGCCCTTATTTAACACAGTAGCTTATTCTCTTGTATAGCTATTCAGTACTAATGTAGGTGCCTGGTCCATCCAGGTTCTATTATTGAGTTTCATGTTACCTAAGACAATGTTATGATGCTGTAGTGTTCAGTCATTGTATTGATATTTCCAAGTATTAACAGATGCTGTATTTGTGCTGTGTTTTTCCATCAGTTTTACCTCGTTCAATTCATTAAATACGTTTGGAGTCGGATGTTCACCCTGGCTCTGAAGGTTTAGTGAAAGCGAGGTTATCTACTCGGATAGTGGTGCAATGCAGCGCACAGCGATGCCGAGACAAATCTGCCAGTCTAAAATAATTACGATCAAGATGTAAATCCGTACGCTGACCCAGAACGATATATCAAAGATATCTTTCTAAACTCATCAATCGTCAAACAATGCTGCTGGCTTCCTAGAGTAAAGCAGCGAGCCGGACAAATAATTACATCATACGCAGAGCGGCACCATTGGAATCTGTTTTGAGTATTCGCTTGAAGTTACTTAGCCAAGTTAGGTTACAACCTCATATACCAAAAGGACAATTTGTTTAAAATATCGAGGTTCATAATTCGTAACATTTATTTCCCAGGACCATGCTTGACGGTATCCAGGCAATGGGGAGTTAACGACTCGGTTGAGACAACATCCAACAAGGAGGGGGTAACACAGCAGCCAACACGAGGGTGAGAACCGCTGGTCTACAGTGTCGAGGTGAAGGTGATTTACTTCTCAGATGAGCGTTGAGGCTTGGGTAAAGTAAAAAAAAAGTATGACAATTAAAAATAGGTTGTTTTTACCCTTTGTGGAAAAACAACATGTGATGTGCAAAGATGTTCAAACACGAAGTAGATACATTTGCAAGGAAACAAGCATTGCATTAACCACACACAGTACTTGTGGTGGACATGCAAACACTCTGGTTATTATATACAGTGAGGGAAAAAAGTATTTGATCCCCTGCTGATTTTGAACGTTTGCCCATTGACGAAGAAATGATCAGTCTATCATTTTAATGGTAGGTTTATTTGAACAATGAGAGACAGAATAACAACAAAATCCAGAAAAAGCATGTCAAAAATGTTATAAATTGATTTGCATTTTAATGAGGGAAATAAGTATTTGACCCCTCTGCAAAACATGACTTAGTACTTGGTGGCAAAACCCTTGTTGGCAATCACAGAGGTCAGACGTTTCTTGTAGTTGGTCACCAGGTTTGCACACATCTCAGGAGGGATTTTGTCTCACTCCTCTTTGCAGATCTTCTCCAAGTCAATAATGTTTCGAGGCTGACGTTTGGCAACTCGAACCTTCAGCTCCCTCCACAGATTTTCTATGGGATTAAGGTCTGGAGACTGGCTAGGCCACTCCAGGACCTTAATGTGCTTCTTCTTGAGCCACTCCTTTGTTGCCTTGGCCGTGTGTTTTGGGTCATTGTCATGCTGGAATACCCATCCACGACCCATTTTCAATGCCCTGGCTGAGGGAAGGAGGTTCTCACCCAAAATTTGACGGTACATGGCCCCGTCCATCGTCCCTTTGATGCGGTGAAGTTGTCCTGTCCCCTTAGCAGAAAAACACCCCCAAAGCATAATGTTTCCACCTCCATGTTTGACGGTGGGGATGGTGTTCTTGGGCTCATAGGCAGCATTTCTCCTCCTCCAAACACGGCGAGTTGAGTTGATGCCAAAGAGCTCCATTTTGATTTCATCTGGCCACAACACTTTCACCCAGTTGTCCTCTGAATCATTCAGATGTTCATTGGCAAACTTCAGATAGGCATGTATATGTGCTTTTTTGAGCAGAGGGACTTTGCGGGTGCTGCAGGATTTCAATCCTTCACGGCGTAGTGTGTTACCAACTGTTTTCTTGGTGAATATGGTCCCAGCTGCCTTGAGATCATTGACAAGATCCTCCCGTGTAGTTCTGGGCTGATTCCTCACCGTGCTCATGATCATTGCAACTCCACGAGGTGAGATCTTGCATGGAGCCCCAGGCCGAGGGAGATTGACAGTTCTTTTGTGTTTCTTCCATTTGCGAATAATCGCACCAACTGTTGTCACCTTCTCACCAAGCTGCTTGGCAATGGTCTTG